AATATATTATTTTTAAGATATTAATATATTATTTTTAAGATATTAATATATTATTTTTAAGATTTTCGTAATTAAAAAAATTAAAAATCTATATAAATATTTCGAAATGCTATTTTCTTCGATATGAAAGACATTTTTTTAAACCGTATCATGAGATATATATATACATATAATAATATAATAATGAAAAAAGTTTTTTAAAATTAAAGATCGAACAGTGATCATCAATTAAATTAAAAAAAGAATATTAGTTTATTATATTATATTATATTATATTATTTAAGATAATTATATGATAAAAGAAAAATTTTTTATCTATATACATATCGATAACTATTAAAAACTATTATTTAAAATCTTATTCTAACTATATTTATGTGAAAATTGGTACTTATTAGTTATTATTACACATTCATTTTACATATCGATTGCTGATCAATTTGATATGATATAAATAATTGGTAAAAAATGCATACTGATTCATATATTGCCACAGATATATGAAGATAGAATTCAATGATTAGAATTCAATGATTTAACAGTTTTTTGCAAATAATCTGAAAGTTGATCGCTAATTATATATAAAAAATGAAGTTACTCAATGCATATTTCAAACAATGAGAAAAGAGCTAATTGATACTTTAATCAAATATTGATATAATTAGAAAATACAGAAGATATAAACATCACCATCATAATTGGAAAAGATATATTTAAAGATATATAGCTATCAATATAAGAAATAAATAGAGTAAAAAGATTCTTTTATTATATAATTATCGAAATATATTATCGAAAAAATATTCTTCGATTTTTTTATATTTAAATGAACTGTTTTTTATAATAATATTAATTTGATTGATATAATATTAATTTGATCGATATAATAAATAATAGTATAAAAAAATATATATTCATAGATTACAATGGAAGAACTTCGTGCTGCAGACATTGATTATAAAAAAACATCGAGTACAATTGAAAACGGTTTGGCCGTAGATGAAGAAGTAGTTAAAAAAAATATATTAAATGATGCAAATCCAATATCTGTCGTTAATCGAGTTTGGGGAGGAGATAAAAGATTATCGCTCTATGGATATACTCTTGAAACTATTAATTTACTTCTTTTACCAATGATGCAATCTAAGTATGTAACTTTCATATTTTAAATATTTTTAATTATAATCAATATTACAAACAAAAACACATATATGCATGTACTATGAATTTGCTAGAAAAAGATAAGATAATGTTTACATCTCCTGGACCAGTAGATCTAATGAAAAGAAACAATAGATGATAACGAAATGAGGATGTAAATACATCATCTTTTTCTGCTTAATGTATATTGATCTTTCTTTTTATTTATTATATGCATATGAATTGAAATTATAAAATTTTTATGTAGGAAAGAATCATTGGGTTCCATGGGTAATGATGCTCCATTAGCTTGTCTTTCTCAATTTCAACCACTTATTTATGATTATTTTAAGCAATTGTTTGCTCAGGTATTTATAAATAAACATTATTAGCATCATAAATGTAACATTTTTTTCTGTTTTTTTCAAAATTCATTTTCAGGTGACAAATCCACCGATAGATCCGTTTAGAGAAAAGATCGTAATGTCAATGCTTTGTCCTATTGGGCCAGAAAGCAATATCCTTGAACCAAATGAACTACAAGTGCATAGATTATTTTTATCACAACCAATACTTTCTTTAGATGATCTTGAAGTAATCAAACGAACAAAATATCGCGGTTGGAAAACTAAAATAATTGATGCAACATATCCCGTACAATATGGTCCATCTGGATTAGTTGATACGTTAAATCGTGTCAGTCAAGAAGCTAATCATGCCGCAAAAGAAGGTTATCAATTTCTCGTTTTATCTGATCGACAAGGTAGTTCTGAAAGGTAAGATTATTATTTAATAATATGTATATATTTATACGCGTTTAATTATTATTTTTATATTAATATAATTTAAATATTATAATAAATATTAAAAAAACAAAAATATATTATACTAAGTATAATATTTTATTATTATTAGAGTGCCTGTAAGTAGCTTATTAATATTGGGTGCAGTACATCATTATCTAATCGAAGAACGACAACGTATGAAAGTTGGTCTCATTTTGGAAACTGCTGAGGCTAGAGAAGTGCATCATATATGTTTGCTACTTGGCTATGGAGCAGATGCTATTTGTCCATATCTTGTATTTGAAATGGCAAGAAATCTTCGTATGGATGGTGTATTAGATTCATCATTAACTGATAACGCTTTATGTTCGGTATTATATATATCTATTAATAATATTATAATTAATATATTAATAATGTATAATATTACATATTTTAGTAATAAAATAAATATAAAAAAACAGTGATAATAATGATTATGGATAAAAATAAACAAAAAATATTACAGAATTATGCAGAAGCAATGGAGAGAGGAATAGCAAAAGTAATGGCAAAAATGGGAATTTCTACATTACAATCTTATAAAGGAGCTCAAATTTTTGAAGCAGTCGGTTTATCTGATGAAGTTATTGATAAATGTTTCAAAGTATGTATTATATTATGAGTTATTGGAGTTTTTAATTATAATATATAATTGAAAAATTTTTATAGAAATACGAATGATTAAGAATTGGATCCAATTAATGAAAATTGGTTATTATGATTCAATACTTTCAATGACGTACATATTGTTTTAAGATTCAACTTTAACATATTTAACTTTAATATATTTATTATATTAACTCTTTAAAAATAATATTTAATTTTTTACAATTTTTTCTATTTTTTACATTACAGGGTACACAATCTCGTATTGGTGGAGTAACTTTTGATATTTTAGCAAAAGAAGCATTTGAAAGACATCAAATTACATATTGGGAAAAATCTATGGACATGCTTATTATTCGCAATCCAGGAATCTATCATTGGAGATCTGGAGGAGAAAAACACATAAATGATCCTGAAAGTATTGCTAATTTGCAGGTAAAATAAGTTAATAATAAATATCAAAATTTTTCAATTTAATATACATAGGAAGTATAATTGTTGCTATGATTTTTTTGAATTTTTGATAAAAAAATGTTTTGAACAAAAATTAATCTATTTTTAAAATGTTACAAGTGCATACAATTTATAAAAAATTGAAGATTTAAATAAAAATCAAGGTTACATTATAATATTGTGTATTTCTAGTATTGTATGTTCAAAACAATTTAATAACTTCTATATCATTAAAATGATTTTTAATTTAAAAATATGAGGTCAGATGATTTAATTGTAATAAGATTGAGATCAATAATTAAATATTTAAATCCTATTCTCCTAATTTTATATTTTTAGAGTCATTAATTCTATTAATCTTATTTCTTGGTTTCCTGATTTGTCTTTATTAGATTTTTTTTCATGGAATTTCATGGAATTTATAATTTATACTGAGCAGATTCAAATACAGCAAATTCATATTATTAAGAAGTTCGTTGTGATAATATTATAGTAACAAATTATATAGTAACAATATTAACTTATCTCATCAATTGTGTTTATAATTACAATTTGAACAAATTTATTATTGTAATTGGATATATAAATATATTTATTATTATTATTATTTATTATTATATATATTAATTTGATACAATTAAAATAATTTATCATAATAAAATTTCTTTTTATTTATTCCATATTTTACAATAATATAAAATTAGAAATTAGAAAATATAATATTATATAAAAAATTCAATGTGATTTTAATTTTTTATTGAAAAAAATTTTATTTAGAAATTTTTTATATTGCAATTTATAACTTATTTTGTTTGAAACATTTTCTTTTTATAAATTTTTTTATTAAAAAAAATTTACGAAAAATCGTGATGAGATATGTCATACATTCTATATATAAAAATATCGACAAGCATTTATTTCAACAAATAGAAAGATGATAATTATTATTATTTCTTTTCAATATTTTTTTTTTCAGGATTATGTGAATTCAAAGAATTGGAATGCTTATGATAAATATCAAAAAACTACAATGGAAATGATAAAAGCTTGTACTTTGCGTGGTCAATTGGAATTAGTAAAAAAAGCAGAAAAGTCAATACCCATTGAAGAAGTTGAACCAGCATCTGAAATTGTGAAACGATTTGCAACAGGAGCTATGAGTTTTGGAAGCATTTCTATAGAAGCACATACTACTTTAGCAATTGCTATGAATAATATCGGCGGTAAATCAAATACTGGTGAAGGAGGTGAAAATGCTGATAGGTATTTAATTAAACTATAAATTTATAAAAATTATATTTTTTATAAGTTACATATATACATACATATAAAAAAATAGTCTCTTTTAATTTCTTTGTTTGTATATGTTTTCTAAAATGCTTACAAAGAATCATATAATAAATATAATATACATAATATACATAATATTATATATATATAATATATATAATATATATGTAATATATATATAATATACATATAATTATATACATAATAATATACATAAAATTTGTTATTTTTAGATATTT